ACACAGACCAAAAACCTTTATTTTTATTACCATCATTTATACTCTCTCACAATTTACAACTCTTACAATTTCTTAGTTCTGACATGAGTGTCCTGTACTTGTTTCTCCTTGTTTCTCTTTTGGTAAATGTCTACCTTGTTTACTATAAAATCAGCTTTTACAAAACTGTTTACTTTAAAAGCAGCAGATTTCAATTAATACATGCCAAGAAATACTGCATACAATCTTTAAAATATATAGAAATATGAGAGCGGTCCTCATGAACCGTGTAAGGGAGTCAGCCAGGGGCACCCCAAGCAACTCTCCACAACAGGCAGAATTAACATGGGTGGAAGTTTCTCCTCCAACACGTCCTTCATGTTCTCTTTTCTGAGACTCACAGATTTTACCACCATGCCTAGTTACCCTCTGGGTCAGTTCAAACACTCAAACTCTTCTTGCACTATGAAAGAATTTGGTGTTAGCAACTACATTCAAGCAAGCCAATTCACCAGAAGTCTCATGTTACTCCAACAGCTTGGCACACATTCCAAGAACGGAAAAATTCCTTCCAACTACTTTTATGCCTCACATCCCTGGCTAATCTGTAAGTTCCCTATTCTGGATTTCAACTCTTTCTTTCTTTCTCTCCAGATTTCCACCACTAATCTGGGCATGGTTCATTTATTATCTGCACCCAGGTTCATCATCTTTGTCGAATCAGGCTAAAATCACTGTCTTGGCTAATGAATCACTGAGCTCTGCCCACAAAAAACCTCTGACTGGCATTTGTCTTACTTACTGACCTTTGGCCTCTTATTCATTTCTTGAGCCAAACTACAGAATTGGAATTCCTTTCTGGATGGACTCTTCAAGAGCTCACACCCCTTTCTCTTTATGCTCTTAAAGTTCATTTTTCTCAACTTTCCATAGAAATCAAGACAGCTAGTATTTTTCCCTAGATACCAAAAAATACTTAAGATGACATATCTATAATTAGTAACTCCTCTCTCTCCATTCACAATCTCTTTTGGAGGGGGCTGTTGTCTTTTATAACCAGGCATTACTAAGTGAATAAGTGATAAAAACTTCAGAGAGAGATGATTCCTTTAGAGACTGTTGTTCCCAGTTAGCACTGACACTCCTGGTAACCCCCGACCCCAAACTATTGCTCCCCAATAATCCTTCAAGTTGCAAAGAATTTTTTTTCTGTTAATGATAAATCTTTAGTTCAAAGAAACACTATTCATTCACATGCACTCTCACACATTTGTTTTAATTAAAGATTTTTATTTATTTATTTGACAGACACAGAGAGAGAGCACAAGCAGGGGGAGCGGCAGAGGGAGAGGAAGAAGCAGGCTCCCCCATGAGTAGGGAGCCTGATGCGGGGCTAGATCCCAGAACCCTGGGATCATGTCCTGAGCCAAAGGCATATACTTAAGCGACTGAGCCACCCAGGCGCCCCTCTCTCACACACACACTCTTGCTCTCTCTGCTTAGTTTTCTCCATTGAAGAACTTGGAATACTCTGAGTACCTCAACTCTATAATGCACGCACTCACCCCCATCTTTATGACCCCCTCCAAAAGAAAAGACTTTTCCTTCCTAAAACTGATCAAGCAACATCCCACAGGTAAGTGGACTCTACTGCATTTATATAACGCAGGACTCCTGATGGCTTTGCCAGGCAGTCTAGGACACTTCCACCCAACCTTCCCTGGCTCTCTCCCTCACTGGGCTCAGACCTGCACCACAGCCTCACTTGCATCTCCCTCCTTCCCTGCCCCTTGCCCCATCCCTTTTCTTCCACAGGTATTTGTCCCAATAAAATGCTTGCATTTAATCCTGCCTTGGCATTTGCTTCTTGGAAGACCCAGCCTGACACATCGGGATTAATAACTTATTTAATATTATATTTCCCTGAAACTAGCAACTTTTAAATGGGTCCTCAGAAAATGGGTAAACAAACAGGGATTTTGTAAAGTAGATCTCAGATACAGAGTTCCTCCTTCTCCATTCCATTCACCCCCACCTTGAAAAGGAGACTAACAAAAAAAAATAAGGCTTTTGAATAGTTGTATCAAATTAATAGCTTTCCTAATATTAAGAGATTCTTCTTTATGTACAAATTCATCCAGTTCTAATAAGAAGGGAGCAAATTAGGAACTGTTCCTTGAAATTAGCTACTTAGGTGTCTGTTTCTATGATTTAACTATAAGCTCCTAGAGGGTTGGCATCCCATTTCATTCATTTTTTTTACTGAGTACTGGATTCGTAGCAAGTACTCAATAAATAATCTACTGAATGGAAGCAGGAAATGCTCAATCACAGTGAAGTATAAAGATGGGGACGATAGTTCCTAGACCCTTCTATGGATATGAAAAAACATAAAATATATCTATTATCTTCATTATATAAACCATAGAAAATAAACTTCAAGTTCCATTTTACAAAATATAGAAAGCAAACATCAACAAAAATCTTAACTATAGTGGGAATAAGAAAAAGATAAAGTGAGAAAGATTATAAAGAATTTATTTTAAACTGTTGAGAAACTCTAACAGTGATACTCTTTTGGTCAAAAATGGTTATCTTGCCTTTCTAAGAACTGTCTAATACATAACATCTGGATTTAGGAGAGTAAGTTGCAACAGTCATGTGGCTAGAGCCATAGATTTTATTTTTATATATATATATATATATATATGCTATGTATACTGTATATTATATAAAATATAGATTTCTTTCTACCAATAAACTTCACCCTACTGTAGACATATTCAAACTTCATTATTCATACACTGCCGACAGACAGAATTATGTTTCTCCAGAACAAAAAGTCCTGTATCTTCCTACCATGTCAGGTAAAGGAGTTTCTTTACAACAAAATATTGATCCACGTAGATGATAGTGGAAAGTTGACATTTACAAAATATTTCCATGACAGCAAATGGAAATAGAACTAAAAGAATTGAGAGTTAGATAATTAGACCCCACAATTTCTGATTCCTTCATTGTCATTAAGAAGAAGAGCAATTTATTTCACCAACTGTTGGCATATTTGTGATGATTAAATTCTTACTATAGCAATGAAAACAAGTGTATCAGTGGAAATCTCAAACAATGAAGCTTTAACTAGTATTTCCCATAATAGATGAATACGTCTAAATTATACCTCGTCATTGAGGAATTTTTGCTGTACATTAATGGATTTAAAATCTAATTAACTTCCCTATACTCTTTAAGAACACTACAATAACACTGGCCTGACTCATAACTTTTAAGTACACTTAGTGAACTGGAGAAAGTGGAAAAAATATTCCACATACCAGAGGCAGAAAAAGCAGAAAACATTTTTCTTCCTTTCCTTTTCATTATTTTCCCCCAGAACCTATTGCAAGTGGGGTGAGATTAAAGACAAAAGATATATCTGAAACAATCTACAGTAATTTAAAATGATTAATTCCAGGTCTTTTAACATATAAAATGCTCCAGTGGAAATTTTAGGTAGAGTAAATCCTGTCGAACTGCAAGTTGTTACTGAAGTATCTGACATCGGGAAGTCTAATTTTTGCACTACAACCTTAGGAAGAAAATAAAACCATAGCTCTTCACATTTCAAATTAACGTCATTTTTCCTATGAGTCAACCAAATAACAGATATGAATTGAAGTACCTACCAGTTTTAGGGTATGATAAAACATTTCATGATGACTCCCCAGTTAAAGGAACTAATCCTAAAGAATTTAACATGTGCTTTATATGAAAAAATTAGAAAAGCAAATAATTCTAAGCAGTTAAACAGAAGTAATGAATATATGAAAATTTTCAACTGAAGGTTAAGAAAAACAAGGAGACCTATAATTTTAGAAAGTATAACAAATTTGGTAGCAGAATAGAAAGATATGTAATTTTCTAGAAGAGATATTTTTTATTTAATATAGTAAGCAATGAAATTCTAATTATAAAAAGTGAGTAGGTAGAAAAGAAACATTTATTCCTTTCCCAAGGATACTATTTTCCTAGTTAGCTGTCTGAAGCCATTCAAACGAATAGAGTACATCTCAAAAAACTGTTTATGAAATTTCATTATAAATGGCTTTGGTAACAAAATATATTATACATACTAAAAATAAGCAAGCTTTCATGCTATAGCCTTTTCTTTCTTTTCTTCATCCAACAAATATTTATGGAGCTCCTAGCACATAGTTAAGCATTATTCTAGAGCTACGGATACAGCATGAACAAGATGGACTAAAATCCTGGCCAACATGGAACTTACTTTCTAGGTGAAATAAATGACAAGCAAGAAAATAAGTAAAAGGTCTAGTATGTTTCATTCTACTTCTATTCTATTGTCATTCTGCCATAATATTGTCCTCTGATTTAATGCTATTGGATGTAGTTTAAGTAAAATTATAATGTGATAAAAGCCTTTTGATATTTCCATAAACCCTCTTGGCCCGGTTCTAAGGTAGATCTGTCTTAAAAGAATTATCATGATATAAACCAGGGATCACCAAACTTCTCCTGTAATGAGTCATATATAAATATTTTAGGCTTTGCAGACCACCTATGATCTTTGTTACATGTTCTTCATTTTTTTTAACCCTTTAAAAATGTAGAACCACTCTTACCTCACAGGCTATACAAAAACTTGCCAGGGCCTGAATCTGGCCTACTGCCATAGCTCTCCAACCTCTGCCCCAAATCTGAGTATCCCTGCTTTAAGTGGCTAGGTTTTTTTTACATTTATTCTTTTGCTCTTTATTATTCATTTTCCAAAATTTAATAAAACATTCTTTCCTAGAGCTACAATATTTCCAACCAGAGCAGCCTCAAAGTCAGTTCCAAGGAGCAGGCCTACCTGCTCTATTTCACACAAGCAACAGAGAAATACTCTTGGCAAAAAACCCTTCCTAAGTCTATATGCTTTAGAGAGATATGGTGGTGGAGGTTGTAGATGCTCTCCACTGACTTCCTAGGGCAGACACACAGAAAGTCTAATGTTCCCTTACCTTGCTGGAGGAACATCAATATTGGAAGAAACAACTTTCCGTTTTTGCTCAAGGAGACAGATGGAGCGAGTGTTTTCTTTTTCATGGTCAAGGGCTCGGTTGGCTTTTTTGGTGTCTGCTGTTTTCACATCTTCCTCCATGGCCAAGGGAAACAAGTGTTGATGAGACATTTTTTTACTAGAGTCACGTTTTAAGTCCTCTGGTTGAAATGTGAAGGTCATTTCCCGCTTAATGCTCCCCACCTGTGAAATGAAACACAAAAATTCTTATTCGCCCAGAACATCAGCTTTGCATAACTATATGCAGATGACCCTAGAAAAGAACACAGATTGGAGACCTCCTTGTTCATGTTAAAATTTTATAGTTTAAATGAAAAAAAATGTAACATAAAAATAAGATAACTGACATTACAAAGTAATAGACATTTGATGCATCATCTGTCATAATGCAAACAAGCAGCATCACAAACATAAGAAGAACCTTTCAGGCATACAAAAACTTTGAAGACTTGAAAGCATAATGCTTCTAAAACAAATCTAAAAATTTAATACATCACTGATTTCTCTTCTACAACTGAGAAACTCAATTAAGTAAATAAATTCTTAAATATTTCACACTAATTATGTTGAATAGAAGAGTACTATAAACATAAAATGAGCCTTATCTTTGACTATGAATAATGATCTTAACCATACTCTTCAGTTCATGAAGAACTGTTTTTTTTTATCTTTTATCTACAGAAGTTAAGATCTTAATGAAATCCCTTATTAGTATGATGATAAAAAAGTCATTAATTTTTCTTATCATTTTTGACTAAATACAACAATGCTTAAGGTTTAAGGCAAATATAAAATTAAGCCTCAGGGCCTTGACTCTGGTTTCAGAATTTGTGATGACTAAAAACAAAGACTGAAGTTAAAGAAAGATTTTTGTAAAGGTGGTTGGTATTTTAAGTGAGGTTTGGAATGAACTTGTTAAAGTCATGAGTGTACAAAGAAGAGCCAGAGGGGGCTCCTGGGTGGCTCAGTCGGATAAGTATCTGCCTTGGGCCCAGGTCATGATCCTAGGGTCCTGCGATTAAGTCCCACATTGGGCTCCTTGCTCAGCAGGGAGTCTGCTTATCCCTCTCCCTCTGCTCCTACCATGCTCGTGCTCTCTCTCCTATCTCTCTCTCAAATAAAATCTCAAAAAAAAAGAAAAGTGAAAAAGAAAAGAAAAGTGATCAGTACTCCACTGCTCAGTGGATTGTGTTTCAAAATACACACACCTATAAGGCATGTCCCAGGCCCATTCAACAGTTCATCCCTTTCGTGGACTGAGTCTGTAAAATCAAAAATCTTCACTTACCCACTAAATAGAGGATATGCTTGTTTCCTTCTTTTTAATTTTAGGTAGGAGGAAAAGCACAAAAAAATTGATCAAATAGATTTAGAATTACAGATGCTAAAGCCACAAACATAAGGCATTTTCAGAATAAAATGAGAATATGTGTGTTCAATAATAGCATACTGGCAACATATGATACTAAAGACCAGAAATTTTCAGACTAAACGGAAACTCTGAGGCATGCATGTTAGAGTCACAGGACCCGCTCACATATGAGAATTCCCAGAACCCAGTGATGAACGTGTGCCTTGGAGTCCACTTGGCTGGAATGTCTCTTTCAAATGAACATTGAGCTCTAAACTGAGCTCTCTTCTCTCCTTGGCCTGTACTTGTGAGGACAAAATGATCTTCTTCCCATGGGGTTCCTGTCAGACCTAGCCCCAGGAAAATGATCAGCCACTTTTGGTCTTCTTGCAACTCATTAAAAAGTTACCATATTTCTTTTTTTTTTTTTAAGATTTTATTTATTTATTTGAGAGAGAGAGAATGAGAGACAGAGAGCATGAGAGGGAAGAGGGTCAGAGGGAGAAGCAGACCCCCTGCTGAGCAGGGAGCCCGATGCGGGACTCGATCCCGGGACTCCAGGATCATGACCTGAGCCAAAGGCAGTCGCTTAACCAACTGAGCCACCCAGGCGCCCTAAACTTACCATATTTCTTAAAATGAGTGCTTTTAAGAGCTGTTTTAATGACATCAATACACAATAGAAAAATATAAAAAAATATTTCATACTTCAAAAAATGTAATGAATGTTCAATAAAAAAAATGTAGCTTGGAAAATCTACAAATGTAATTACTAATATTTCAAACATCCATCAGGAGTCACTTTCTATGTAACCTTTTCTGCCTGGAGGTAGGAGAGGGAGGTGATTTTTCACTTCCATAGCACCTCATTCCAAACCCATGTTACAACAGGGATACGCTAAACACCAGGCATAGAAGATGAAAACAAAGGCCTGGTTTTGACAATCATAAATAGTTTCCCCCTAAGTGTCAAGAATTGCATTAATTAAATACTTAAGTAGTCATTAGTATTAAGTTGTAGCAATAATTGACATCTATTCCTCCCTTGGGGCCAACTGTACTGGTTAAATGAATTCAATCCCAAGACAGGAGTAGTGGAGAACATTACAGGAAGCTCAGCTTTTAGTTTCAGAATTTTAGGGGAAAAAAATCCAGCATTCTAAAGCAAATTAATACAAAGTAGAACAAATTTCCTATAGAAATTGTGGTATAATTATATGTCATGCTCTTAGCCAAGACTTCATAAAAAAATATAGTAATATTCAACAGTGTAAGCTATAAATCTTCCATAATACCTCTTAAACAAAAAATTAATCTCTCCACAGTAATGAGGGAATTCTAACAATGTAATGGATTTCAAAGACTATTTAGCCCAAACTCCTTATATTAAAAGTGGAATTAAAAGGAATTAGAAATGGACCAAAGAGGACAAAAAAATATAGTGATGAGTAAGTAGTTTGGTGGAAGGAGTGGGTGACAGGTGACCTTCATTACATTACTAAGCTTTAGAGTTTACATATAGAGATTACATGTTCTTTTTAACATTCTTTTATCCGTATCAGATAGTAACATTTAAAAGATTTTTTAAAAGAAGAGTTCACAGGAAAGTAGAGAGTGGGGAGAGTACATGAAGTCAAATCTTGAGAAACTGGGCCTAAAATGGCCCAGAGAGATAGGATGGTGGCTGGAGAGATGCTGGACAAGGGAAAATGTTCTAAGATGAAAGGTAATAGAGCATGTTTGAATGCTGAGTCAGAATGGAAAGAAAGGGATGAGTAAGGTTAGTAGTAGCAGTAGAAGGGGATAGGGCTGATATCCAGGTGTTGCACCATTAGCAGATTAGCAGAAGAACACAGCAAAAGGAATCTATGAACCCTGATTAAATTTGCACCCCTATTAGATTAGTGGAACAAAGCAGCTAAAGGAAGATATGGTTCCATTTATATGAGATTTCCAGAAAAGGCAAATCTATAAAGACAGAAAACAGACCAGTGATTGCCTGGGGCTGGGGGTGGGAGCAAGAACTGATAGCAAGTGCCCGCCAGAGAACTTTCTATGGTGGGGGAAATGTTCTAGAACTACACTGTAATGATATCTGTATGATGCTATAAATTTATTAAAAATCATTGAACTGATTTTTATGAGATGTATATTATGGTATGTAGATTATACTTCAATAGTACTGTTAATTAAAAAAAATAAAATAAAAAAGAACTAAGCCAGGAGTAACTGGTGTGGAAAGTATATTCACAAGAACCCTGAGATCAGAAACTGGGAAATTTCTGGTGCTTGTAAAGCAACTTCCATAAAGTCTATGAATCTTTTTTTTTTTTTTTGAAACACGGGTGATGTGTGGCAAGCCAGGCTATCACAAGCAATTGCATTCTTATATCCTGCATACTGGTAAGATGGGGCTCAATCCATTCCCCACTCAAGCCACGTCCCCTGGCTTTGTCACCCATGGAAGAGAGACACGTTTCTCATTCTTCTACCTGGAGAGGAATTTTTGTACTTCATCTGTCCAAAGAGGACACTCTTACTTATTTTTTCCCCAGTTTGCACAATGCCCTGGTGACAAAAGGAAAAGTCTTCTGATGATCTACATGGCCTGGGCCAAGTTAGCTTCCTTCCTGGAAGCAGATATCAATGAATTATGTGACTCCTATGAGCTGGATAGCTTTGATAATAGAAATGTTGAGGGTATCAGAAGAAGCACTCTATGCTACAGCTCAAAAGGAGGCAAAGGCTTCAACACGGAAGACAGCCAGAAAACAAACACAATCTAGAAGCCCCGAGTGACAAATAATGAAGAAAAACAGCAAGACTGTTGACTAGTAATTTCTAGGAGGAAATACAAGGCTAAGGTTTAGGAATAATGTTAGTCTAGATTAAGAAAAAATAAAGTGTCTCCTGCCCAGGAAAGGATTCATCTGACTATCCCACACTGATAAGACTAGACGTTAGAAGGTAGCAGTATTTCATTTTGGTTGCACATTTCAAGATGGGCACGGACAAATTGGAATAAAGACAACAGAATGATCAGTATGGCAAAGGATCTTATTGGGAGGAACGGGGAGTATTTTGTCTAGAAAACAGAAGAGTTATGCCCCACACAGCTGCTCTTAGATGAATGGAGAGCTCTCCTAAAGAAGAGGAATTTGAGTTCTCCTGTGTTCCTCTAGAAACAGGATCAATGGCAATCACTTCTGCTTCCAACTAACTCCCATCTGACCTTAGGGTTTACTCGCTCTTCCTCTTTTCTTCTTCTTACTCTTTTACCACATTGTAAATGAAATATTGTGTATCTATAAGAAATACCACTTTCTACTTACCTGTGTTTTCATGGAGACATAAACTGTTAAGTAGGTAGATTCTCAGAAGCTACTTCATCTCACCTAAACATTTTGTTTTTCACTGTTTCTGTAGAGTTTAAATGTACTTTTCATTTTTAAACGTGTTACAAAATATATGCTAGTTATTAAATTTTCAATAAAAATACGTATAAAATAAAATGGGGAAAGCTTTCTATTCCTCCCCATTCTTTTCCCCGCCTGCCCAGTCAAGTCCAACCCTTAGAGAGAACAGCTTTTAACGATTTACTGCAACATGTCAAATTACTTAAAATGCATTAAATACCTATCAATGCATATATACTATTTGGAGCATCTAAACATGAATGTGATTATACTACATGTATTATTCTGCAACTTATTTTCTTACTTCACAATAAATCAGGGGCAACTTTTCATATTAGTAGTAGATCTACTAATTTTTTAAAACACTGAAAACTATAACAGTTCATGAGATCAGATTTTTTAATTGATCTTTTTTT